GTACTAACAAACACCCTCATCTCAAGTTTGGAAGAAGCAGAGCTGCTTGCAGGGTTCCCCAAGCCAAAGCATCATGTGACGTGACCTTTGCTACTTGAGTGCCTGGGAAAGCAGAGCTGCTGGCCTGTTGCTGGGAGGATTGCAGCCCTTCTTTTGAGTGAACAAAGCCTTCGGAGGGAGGGAAAGCCCCCAGGGGCAGGGCCTCAAACTGTGGCAGACGGATACATGCAGTTTTTTGGGGGAGGACCATCAATCCTGTTGGTTGTCTCTCCCACTCCCACTCTAACTGCTCATTTCATCTTTGGAGAGAAAAGACAATGATATATCATATATATCTGTTGTACCTAGAAAAATGTTTGTCCTTCTAATGCCAGTAACCTTATTAAAAAATAGTACAAACAGGACTCGTGTAACACACACACACAACTAAAGTGTTTACTCCCCAAAAGTGTAGCTGTGGAGCCAAGAATGTAGTTGGGAACAACCATAAAGCTCTGCCTGGGAGAAAGTGGAGCATAGAGTTGGGCTTCAGGTTAACTGGGAAGGAGGGCAAACTTCTTTTTTTCTGTGTCTCCTTTCCCTTTCCATGTAAGACTGATGAGAGATACATAATGTGTCATTGGTAAGAGATATTCCCCAGAGCATCTGCACTTTAAAAGGAGACAAGCCAGACACAGTTCTCTAAAAATGAAATTTGCTGCATCAGAGAGCACACACAGAGGAGGGCTGAGTTTAGTTCACTTTTGTTCCACTGAATGAACAGGTATTGGGCTAGGTGCATCCACATCACTTGGGAAACCCCTGGAGATTCTAACTCAGGGGGTCTGAGACCAGGCCTGCGAATCTGTGTGTAACAAACCCACCAAGTGATTCTGACATGTGGCCAGGTTTGGGAACCTTAAAAGGCTTGCCTTGGTGAGCTCCTCCTTGAAGCAAAATTTCAGTGATGGGAGGCTGAGAAGTTTTAAAAGATAAACTGAGGCATATTAAAATTTTTAAAGAATTTATTTGAGCAGAAATTGATTTGAATACTGCAGCAGCAGACTGGAAATGGTTAGGAGCACTCCACTGACAGGAGCTTGGGGAAAAGACTTTTATAAAGAAGACGCAGGATCAAAGCCAGGATATTATTTGATTGGCTATAGCTTAAGTGGTTACCTTATTTGGAAAAGTCTAGTTGGATGTTTGTGATTGGTCATCCTTAGGTTTCGATTTCTTTTT